ATATATATATATACAATTGAGAATTAGGCACTAGATAATATTTGTACGCTGGAAATGAAAGTACATGAGGATTCTCTCAGTGAAAAACAGATTCGCGTAGCATAAGGAATTTTAGCGATGCAAGGCTAACTTTTACCTTTTTCTATCTTCAGTGCCATGTGGTTCAACGTTGCTGACGAAGGCTCTAGAAGCGAGCGGGACGATGCACACAGTGTCAGAGTCTGACCTGTACGTCAACCTGAGCCGGTACGTCATGACGAAGACGGACATGCCAGAAGAGGAGATGGGGATGCTTCTAGACGTCATCAAACACATCAACACCCTCTTCAACTACAACCTGCTTCAGGAGGACCCTTGTAAAACAACGGTCTGTTACAAAATGCGGGGCCAGGTTAGTATACTTATTAGTAAATATAGTAAATCATTATAAGCGATGGACTTTTTAGTATGGCCGTTATTAAGAATGTAGAACTGTTCCAAAGCGACAATAATTGTGTGTGTGTGTGTGTGTGTGTGTGTGGTGTGTGTGTGTGTGTGTGTGTGTGTGTGTGTGTGTGTGTGTGTGTGTGTGTACTGTGTGTTTGCGTGTGTTAAATCTACCTAAGTCTTCTTTTACCATTGTCAATGTTACAGTTTTTTTTTATGTGCACACGTACACATTTATTGTCATGCCATATTCGCCAAATTCATTGCAAGTAACATCCACTTGCATCTCCAGGTTTGTTTCGTAGCAGACCTCCTCCAGAGGGCCTTGCCACAGGTTAAGAACATCTTCCTCTACCGGAGCCTTCTGGGTACTGTGGACTCGTACGCCCATCTGATGGCGGAAGGTCGCTACTGGAAGTACTGGCTTCAAACGTCTCTCAAACTAGATTCCCTCTACATTAACAACTTTAATGATCTACTGGTCGCTCCTCTACGGGAGAATCCTGTTTTTGAGTCCATCCCTGTCCCACATGGGGTTGTGTGGTTCTCTGTGTGTACTTGGCTCGCGTTGATGCAGAAAGCTCGCGAGCTGAGAACACAAGATCCGCACCACTTTTTCCATGTCATATTGAGGTACGAGGAGTTGTGTACGTACAAGGATGAGATGGTTATAGAAGTCATGGATAGGCTGGGTATCAAATGTGTTGACGAGGATGTAAAAGTGAAGATAAGAAAGGTGTTTGGAGTCCACAGTCAGGCTGGGCATTACCTAGACAAAAGGGGTGCAGGTGGGGGAGGAAGTTGGGTTGGAGAATGGGAAATGGGGATCATTTCAAAGGTTCTGGAACATTCCAACATGGGGATCAACGAACCCAATTTTGTAATCGATGGAACCGTCACTCAGATCTGAGTACAAACATGTCCTGAATCATTTGACGTAAGATAATCTTATCATTATAGTTTCATGGATATTTTATGTCCTTAATTGTTGGCAAAATATTTCATCTAAGACCATGCAGTTAGAATAGACCAAAAACCTTTAAACCAGCACAGGGATGTGGTAGACAGGAAAGGATTGGAGCCAGAGACAGCTGAAAAACTGACCACAGACCTCAGTGTGATCTAGTTATTACCTCCATGAAAAATGGAGGTATTGTTTTTGGTGTGTCTGTCTGTATGTATATATGTATGTATGTCTGTGTGTGTGTCTGTCTGTGTGTGTTTCCGCAACTTTGTGGTCAGCATAACTTCAGAACGCCTTTATGGATTATAATGATATTTGGTATGTTGGTAAGTCTTAGGAAGACAAACGTCAAGGTCAAATATGGACCTCCTGGTGGATGACCTTGGTACTGCAGCAGAACTTCCGGTTTTTGTATCTTTTGTCCTGAACATGCTATGGTCTTGATGTTTTGGTGACAGATTGCTTTTCCTGTCAGAAATAAGTGGTGTGAGTTTGGCCCCCCTAGCAGCTTGTTCTGGAAGTGCAGGGCACTTTCTGGCGAAATGTTTAAAAGACAATAAGTCCAGATAGGAACAACATATTTTCATTATTCTTGGTGTGTAGGTAGCTGAGAGAGAGATGTACATGATTAAATGCAAATTATGCAAATGAGGACTTTATTTGCATAATTAATGAGGAAATTCTATGATTACAGTGTTTTACATTATACTACTTTCATACATGTAATGTATGTAACCTATGGCAGGCAGAACATTAACAGATACTAATTTTGCAAATGATGACCTAATTTGCATAATTTATGCAAAAATTCTATGATTTCTTAATGGTGAATAATGGGAATGTCATACTTGGGACATCTGTAAGTTAATCAAAAGTTAACATGCATCACGATGCATATATCATATTAATGCGGAGGTAATTTGCATAATTAAAGAGGAAATTTACATTTACATATCAAGCCCATATTTCATGGAGGTATCAAATCTCGGAATTCTTGTTTTGTATGTGAGACGTAACTCATAGTTACTCATAGAAGAAGAAACTGTGGAGACAAATAATGGTGGCGGAGTCTGTATGAGAAGAAAGGGAAAATAAAGAGTTGATCTAACATAAATCTATAACGATTGATGGAAAAATATACTTAGAACGTATTTAGAAAAATAAAATAATTAATTTACCTAACGCCTCTGTCTGTGTCTGTGTCTGCCACTCCTCTCGAGCTCTATCTCTCTATCTATACCTCTATATGTATGTGGTATCTATACCCTCTCTCGATCGATAGCAAGCCAATTTTCTTATTTATGTTTAGTATTTCGCGCTCTAAAAGAAACTATCGCAAAATCGCACTGACGCAAAATTTCGCTTTCCATGCTGATAATTTCTATTCCCTGGTGCTATGCATCCTGGGAATGGGAAATGACGAATGAGGGCCTCGCTGTCGTGGCGGACTTCGTTTCCTTACCCGTCTGTGCCTGTTATCATGTCTCTATAACCATAGTTTATTCATGATTGATATTTTCATCCTCATTCCAAACATATTGTTCGTTTTTTTGGTCGATTAAGAGCTAAAATGGCACCCAAAATACCAATCATGTCACCCAGCAGTATGTAAGCATTGCCTTCTCTTCATCTCTCTCATCTTAGATCATTAAAAATTCATATTTTCATCTTCTTTCCAAGGATATGTGTCGATTGATTTTCTTTGTGTCCAGAAAATTGTGTTCACAGCTGAATACTTCGCGTTGATTAAAAACCTGCAAGGATGAACATACTACCATAGAAACGAAGCCACGTTACAAGCCTCACTGGGTAGCCTGGAATCAATCCATGAACGCTTTATCTCCGCTCCGTTCCTCCGCTCTGCCTTCACCGGAGCGGAGACAAAGCGTTCACGGATGGATTCCAGGCTATCACTGGGTCAGTCTACTGAGAAAGACTAGGTGAGGGAACTCTAGGTGAGGGAACTTTATTGCGTCGGATCGAAATTCTGAACTTCAAACATGTAACTACCAACACAGATAAACTTTTATGACAGCACAATACCATAGACGTTATCCTGTAACAAGTAAGCATCAAGACCTTGAATGAATGAATGAGTTTATGTTCATTAATAATTCATATTTTCATCTTCTTTCCAAGGATATGTGTCGATTTTCTTTGTGTCCAGAAAATTGTATTCACAGCTGAATACATCGCGTTGATTAAAAACTGCAAGGATGAACACAATACCATAGAAACGAAGCCACGTTACAAACCTCACTGGGTCAGTTTACTGAGAAAGACCAGAGTGACTGGTCGAAAGCTCGAGCTCTAGGTGAGGGAACTTTATTGCGTCGGATCAACATTTTGAACTTCAAACATTTAACTACCAACACAGATGAACTTTCATGATAGTACAATGCCATAGACGTTAACCTGTAACAAGTAAACATCAAGACCTTGAATGAATGAATGAATCTATGTTCATTAAAAATCCATATTAAATTTTTCATCTTCTTTCCAAGGATATGTGTCGATTGATTTTCTTTGTGTCCAGAAGATTGTGTTCACAGCTGAATACTTCGCGTTGATTAAAAACCTACAAGGTTGAACATAATACCATAGAAACGAAGACACGTTACAAGCCTCACTGGGTAGCCTGGAATCAATCCGTGAACGCTTTATCTCCGCTCCGTTCCTCCGCTCTGCCTTCACCGGAGCGGAGACAAAGCGTTCACGGATGGATTCCAGGCTATCACTGGGTCAGTCTACTGAGAAAGGCCAGAGTGACTGCTCGAAAGCTCTAGTTCTTGGTCGGGAAACTTTATTGCGTCGGATCAAAATTTTGAACTTCAAACATGTAACTACCAACGCAGATAAACTTTTATGACAGCACAATACCATAGACGTTATCCTGTAAACATTAAGACCTTGAATGAATGTATGAATGAATGAATCTATGTTCATTAATATTCATCTTCTTTCCAAGGATATGTGTCGATTGATTTTCTTTGTGTCCAGAAAATTGTGTTCACAGCTGAATACTTCGCGTTGATTAAAAAATGCAAGGACAGTCGGACACAATACCATAGAAACGAAGCCACATTACAAGCCTCACTGGGTCAGTCTACTAAGAAAGACCAGAGTGACTGCTCGAAAGCTCGAGCTCTAGGTGAGGGAACTTTATTGCGTCGGATCAACATGTTGAACTTCAAACATGTAACTACCAACACAGATAAACTTTTATGACAGTACAATACCATAGACGTTATCCTGTAACAAGTAAGCATCAAGACCTTGAATGAATGAATGAGTTTATGTTCATTAATAATTCATATTTTCATCTTCTTTCCAAGGATATGTGTCGATTTTCTTTGTGTCCAGAAAATTGTGTTCATAGCTGAATACATCGCGTTGATTAAAAACTACAAGGATGAACATACTACCATAGAAACGAAGCCACGTTACAAACCTCACTGGGTCAGTCTACTGAGAAAGACCAGAGTGACTGGTCGAAAGCTCGAGCTCTAGGTGAGGGAACTTTATTGCGTCGGATCAAAATTTTGAACTTCAAACATGTAACTACCAACACAGATGACAGCACAGCACAATACCACAGACGTTATCCTGTAACAAGTAAGCATCAAGACCTTGAATGAATGAATGAATCTATGTTCATTAATAATTCATTAATAATTCATATTTTCATCTTCTTTCCAAGGATATGTGTCGATTTTCTACATCAGGGTGATTAAAAACTGGAAGGACAAACACAATAGACGTTACCCTGCAACAAGTAAACATTACGACCTTCTTTCGCAACACACGGCGGTCGATTGCTAGGGCATTCTTTCTTATTGTTAGGCACGTTCGCTATAGTATCGGATAACTAGACGCAACTTGTGGTCTAGCTAAACGCAAAACATGTTTACAAGCATGTCAGACCGCCAGGTAGAGGGTAGGTGGTAAATGATACCAGTGTAAAGAATCCTTGCAATATTCAAGGTCACCCGCGAATACGACAGTAGCTTCGCTACATCAAAACGACTCATATTTGTGAAAAAGTGTTGTTTTTGTCCCATGCAAGGCAAGGAGCCAAGAGATTCCGGGTTCGAACTCTGCCAGGCCACTGATATGATCGTGTGGCCTTTGGAAAGGCACTAGCTTTATGTGAATTTCATCCCCACTTAAGTGAAAAGAGTATGTCTGTTGTCCGTCCGTTTGTCTGCGTTGGTAGCGTCATAAAGATAAATTGCATAACCTGTGGGCTGTCACCATGTATTATGATAAATGTTGGAATAGAAAAAAAAAACAGAGTGTCCTGGCTTGACCTGTCTGTAGCCGCCATGCACCAGTTCCTTGAATCATCAATAATGCATTTTTCATTTTCCTTCCAAGGATGTAGGTCCAGTGAGTTGTACACACCACTGAAGTTTTGCAAAAGAAGATTAAACCCCCACTGTTACCACTCCATGCATGACTGACACACCAGATGTCATCTTTTGTGACTGCTACCAGAAAATTGGACCTACAAGGACAGGATAACTCCCAAGTAACTGTCTGTATTCCTTCTTTATAGCATTCGCTCGCGCGCGATCGGTTGCCATCATCGAGTGAGGACTTGTTCCTTACGTATAGTCACAAAGCATAGGGTGAGGCAAGCTTTTTCTTTCTAAATATATGCAACTCTTCTATTTAGCCAAAACAAATAAGTCGTAGTGAAGTCAGACATAGGCAGATTTTTTTTACGATTCGCTCTTTGTCCATTTTCATTTAAATGTACGGAATTCCGGTTCTTGTCTTATATGCGGCTCTATCTAAACTTCACGACAGTCGTGAAACATAGTAAGCGTATTGAAAAAATGAAGACAGTAATGATGATGTCCGTGATTTGGTTCATATATCTAGTCGAAAAGAGTGGCGACAGCATTTTGCACATTTGATTGAGAACGGGCCTCTTTTATTAGATGTACAGAGCATACAGATTTGTAATGATATCTCATTTTGCAGGTAGTGTGTAGGGATATTGCCTATGTGTTATATCAACCGCCCAGGTCCATTTTCATTTAAATGTACAGAATTCCGGTTCTTGTCTTATATGCGGCTCTATCTAAACTTCACGACAGTCTTACATGACAGGTAACGGAGGTTACAGCAATCTGCGGCAACGGAGGTCACACATCTCTTAAAACACGAGGCTATACTTACTTCAATACTTGTAACTGCCTT